CCCATGTTCATCTTGGAGTCAATGACGACTCCAAGATCTTTTTCCACCTCCGTGCTGACAAGAGGGGAGTTCCCTAACCTGTAGGTATGGTGCCGGTTGCTCCTCCCCAGGTGCATCACCTTGCACTTGTCTGTGTTGAAACCCATCCTATTCTCATTCGCCCACCCTTGTAACCTGTCTAGGTCAGATTGTAGCCTGTTGCTTCCTTCTAGTGTGCCCACGTCCCCCCACATCTTAGTGTCATCAGCAAGATATTTCTGCCACTGAGGAAAGGCTATGATCATCTAGCCTTCAAGTGTCACAGTCCCTTTTCTTGGCTACCATTACACTAGATTGTATTGTATTTCTCAATTTATAGACTGATTCTAAACCTTCAATGTGAAAACACCTGATCATTGGTGTTTTAAGATCTGAATGGGGTCCTCAATTCAAAGCTAGCCCATACCTCTATATTGAATTAAACCAAAACCCTATCTCCAAATTCTACTGAACTTCAGAACATTTGAAATCAGAATCAGATTTAAAATGTGCAACCCAAGTCCATTTCTCATTTGAAACTTCTTGTTCCCTATACCAAAAGCTACATACCTCATTAGTTTATTATTTGTTTTTCCATACTATTCTCAGTTAAATTCAGAATACATTATATCTTTGGAAAATTATACAAAGAGATCATTATGCATTTAGTTTGATGTTTCCCTCTCATGTTCTTCATGAAGTGGTAACTAGTGATGATTGCAGGAGCCTATAATGGATTTTCTGTATGTCCAAATTTTCAGAAGATAGGCACTATGGCTTTTGGCTAAGGGAATATTTATAACATATTCAGCTTTTCTCTTGCTTTAATGTTAAAATTAATAGTATCAAGGGATAGTGCCTGGGCTATTTGCAATCCATTCAAAAATGCATATTAGAGGAAAATATATAATTCATTAAATGTATTGCTTAAGGTGAGAAACTTTAAATTGAGTTTTGTAAGTTTTGAGTTTGGGGGTTATACTTGGCATAGGCCACTAAGAATGTTGAATTATTCATTCCAAAAGACTGCCAGTGGGAATAACAAGAAAACAGAAATGGAGCTTGGAATGTGGTTTCATTTTATTTTAAAAAATTAAAAATTAAATAGCTATGTTACACTTCAAAATACTTTATTCCCTCTTCATTAAAACAGCTGCTGATTTATAGCTGTTACTTCTGTTACTCTAATTCTGCTATACATTTTTTAGACAATGTATATTCACCCTTACTGACATTAAGCCAGAATGACAGAGGGAACTGTACTACCTACTCTACTGACAAAAATGAAATACAATACTTCACAACTTTATATCCCTATTGTTTCGATTTCCACATAGTCAGGAGATATGCACTGTGATATGTTTATAAAGGAAAATGAGTTTTACCTATCATGATGTTGCTATTCCACAAAATCAGTTTGTTAAGTTAGTAAAGTCCTCTTTCAAAGACGGAAGGTGCTATGAAAATATTAATAATTGTTAATAATGTAGCTGTGCATGGACAGATGTAAATGTAGCCAGGGAAGAATCTATAATACTGCAATTAAAGCTTAGTCCAACTCTGTTATGAAAAGATCAGGTTACCTGGTGTCCGAAAGGAAACCTCTTACTTATAAAGCAGAGATTTTTCTTGGCAGCAAAATATCTTCTTCAGCTGCTATAAAGAAAAAGCTGGAGCAAGAACTGAAGTGAAACTGAGTACTTGCTTGGACTCTGTTTTTTCATCATCAAATATGGGTAACTCCCATTGATTGCAATGGGCTTTTCTCATCTCCTGTAGAAAGAGGATAGGTAGGCTGCAGAAATAGAAAAGATCAAAACACAGAATTAAAAACAGGTTCCAGGGTTTCTTATTGAGTCACGTTTTTCCAAGAGCTGTTCCCCCTTTTACTTTTCTTTTTCCATTTCATTTAATTAGAAACAACACAGTGCTGAACATGTGAAATTAAATGCCACAAAACCCTCACCCAGCAACCCACCACCTGCAGCTCTACTAACCATATGCACATGGCCTGTGGCTTTCCCCCTTCATGAAGAGAAGTAGGAGCAGAAGTTGATTCATCTGATGGAGTGTCCTGTTTCATCTCATCTTCAGAAATGCAGTTGCTCAGCAAAATTACAACTCAGAAAAACAAGAAAAGAAACCAGGAAAGCAAACATAACATAATGTTATATAACAGATTGAAAGAACAGTAATAAAAGTATCAGGTCTTTACCCCCCACCATGAGCACTGTTACTCAAAGTTGCTGGCTTTCGCTGTGGAAAAACCTAGGTCTCCATTCCCAAAGTAGTTTTGGCAATGGGTAGGGTAGGAGCTAATGACCCTCTGCTATGGCAATGCATGCTCCACAACATGTGCATTCTTAGACAGGGCAGAGTCATCCAAAGTATCCATTGGAACAAATCAGACCTTGAAGTGCAGAGGTTTAAGTACCACATCTTGTGCCTTTGGGAGAACCCTGCAGCAGAGAGTAGGGAAAGAGGGAGGGAAAGAAGGGTTGCTGGACAGCATAGGGGTGCTCCTGCCTGGCTCCTACAGCAAGGTGGCACAGTGGAGGATGCCCTTTTGGCATCTAAGTCAGCACAGGGGCTGATTCCATGCTTTCTTCCCTTCCCTGCCCCTCCCCCACTCCCCACAATTACACGATTGCCAAACTGTTGCAATCAGATTTTATATACCATAGGCATTATGTACGTGCTCCACAGACTTCATAGTTAAAAGTTATGAAAAAGAATAACCTTCAACTCTCAGGACAATATTTGAAAGGCATGTGTTGCGTAGCTCTAAGGACAATACAGCACCTGAAACAGGATGACTAATGCAACTAGACCATTTGTATTTTGCATAGATTCAATTACATAGGTGCAAGTAGCAGTGGTGTGATACAATAGCACAAACAAAGCTCTCCAGGCCCATTTAATCTTTTATGTAACCAACGGCTTCAATGAGTTTACAGAATGGATGACTTTGGCCCTTCATGGTTACTGGAAGAACATATCACTTCTCTTTACTCATTTGACACCCTTCTGTACTTTGGATCACGCTGCATCTGTTGAAAGATATGTGGGTATTGCATTCACAGGGTCTGCATTTAAATAGACAGTCCTAACTGTTACTGCAGGGCAAGCAGTTAATCACTGGAAAGCCACTTCCGTGAGGAACTAATTGATTCACATCGTGAGAGAGATTTTGCCATCTACTTCATATGCTCTTTCCCCAAATCACTGATTTTGACATTTTCTTTAATATTTCATAAAGTCTTTTGCAACTGACTGACATCGAGCATGGGATCATGAATCTTTTAACAAGAAATCTCTGTGTCTGTCTTTCATCATGTGATGGTGAAAAAGGAACGGTATTTATTCTTGCTTTGATTATTTTTTTCCAACAAAGGGAGCAGTGGTCACAGTTACAAAACTATCCTTTGTTAGAAAAAAGGGGATGAGGAAAATTTCTGGATTGGTCCCAGGAGAAAAAAAATTACTTTCCTCAAAGCAACAATCCATATTAGCTGATGAAAATAAAGACAAAAGCACTGTGTAACAATTCCCCAGGCCCTGGAAGAGATAGATACCCCTGTTTTAGAGCAGACGGCCCCTGCACTCTTCTGCCATGCCTCGATGTAAAATGAATGTGTATAATGCAGGAGGCTGCCCCCTTTGCGGCTCTGGTGTACTGGGCCTATCACATAGCTCTGAGCCATCCCTACACCATGTCCCTCACAGATAGCAGCCAATTCTACATACTATTCTTCCAGCCCCTTTCTGAGCCACACTAATCCTTTGGCCCACTCAGGCCTTAAGGCCCCACTCGGTGGGCCTCGACTCCGCACTGGACTAGTCTTGGGCCCCTTCTCAGGCCACACTCTGCCCCCTCCCTGGGCCACACACACTCACTTCACCCCCTCCCCAGGCCACACCTCATGTTCTGTAGGCCTCGAGTCCCTCCCAGTGGACCTTGACCCCAAGCCTTTCCCCTCTACAGGGTGGCCCACAAGGCAGTGGGGGCTGATGCTTTCTGCCCCCCCCCCCCAATCTTTCATTGAGGAAGTGCAGGTGTGGCATTTCCTGGGGGCTGCTCCACCAGAGCAGCCCCACCACACCAACCAACCCCAGCAAGGTGCAGATTCAGGTCTTACCCAGGACCAAAAGGAACCTCCTTCATCCCCATTATTCCTATCCTAAACCTCCAGGTGTTCCACAATCTGCAGTTTTCAGGCTGCATAATTACTCCTTCAGCTCCCCAGGTGTAACTGGGAAGTCTGGGTTTATACTCTGTCTGCCTAGCCCTCCTCCAGTCAGGTGGCCCTCCGTCAAAAAGGCCAATTAGGTGACTACCTTATTGGGCCTGAACCTACCTGCCAGCTACTCCACAGCCTGCCTGATGGTCTTAAGGTGCCAAGCACAACCAGTGTGCTACCACGCACTGCAACAATGTTGTGAATGTTTGCAAACACATACATTTGATTTATATATGCAGTTCCTCTAGGGAGAAAAAAACCCTTTTAATAAAAATAAAGATTGGAGGTAGTGTTTCTCATATTCAAAGGGCTTTACAAACATTGACTGATAAACTAATACTCATGGGAAAGCACCCAAAGTTCCTTTATTTGCAAAATGAGGCCAATGGTTTGATTTTAGTCACATCAGAGTATGTAGAGGGCAAGTAACCTCAAAGGAAGCAGTGACTTTGAGTGGTTAACATACAGATCGCAGGAAACTACATCACCCACAACTGGAGAAGCATACTGGAGGAGAATAGAAAACATGATACGTATTCTTGAAAAAAAACATTATCAACTATTTACTGAATACAAAACACTATAAAGGTGGAGGAAAGAGGTAGAAACAAACAAGGAACAGGATATCTTACTCTTTAAGGATAAAATTTAGACTAAATTGAAAGCTATTATTTTGTTTCGAAACCCAGTGAACTTTGGGTCAGTCCCTATAACTATGGGCATGTCTACACAAGACATTTACTGTGGAGCTGACTAATTAACTCCACAGTAAACATCTCAGCATCTACAGGACTGCCCCATTAGGGCATGAGAAAATAATAAACTCTGCAGCAGGGTATTTATAAGTAGTACCTTGCTGTGGAGTTTTTTCATGTGCAGCAGCACACAGGCAGACATTGACCCAGCTGGCTGGGGCATGAGAGTCCTTCAGTGTGGGGGCTGCCTGCTAGCTGACTCCCAGGGCCCCCTACCAGCTGGGGCTGCTCTAACTGGGCTCCATGTTCTGCGTATAAATAAAGTTAATTGCCACCAGGTGCACATTCAAATAGCGTGGCCAGGAGCAAAATGCTCCAGAGCAACAAGCCCCAGACTTTATTCATGTGCACTAATTACACATGTAGATGCACCCATAGGGCCCACAGAGATTAAATATGTAGCACTATCATAACTTTTAATTTAAAATCATTAAATTTCTATGGATTTGAGTCTTATTTTTAAGTATATATCCTATTTAAATGTGAATAGCATATGTGTGGAATGTATCCAGCAATCAATATTTAGAGTCAGTGCCCTCCAACTACTTTGTAGAGCTCTTTCAATACAAAACAGCTGTAAAGTTGTGTATCCAGCCACTTTAAACAAGCTTTGCACGAAATATACATGGCAGTCAAGAATCAGGATCAGTTAGACAAGGATCTTTGGGTAAATCTGATATCTTTTATTAGACCAACTAAAATAGTTGGAAAATTATTTGCAAGCTTTCAGGTATAAATACCCTTTGTCAGGCTGAGGAAGCATCTGCAGTCAGTGTGTGCTCGTCCTGGATGGAATGAATACTAAAGAAGCCAGAAGCTGGTATGCATGCGAGAAAGCCAGTAACTTTCCTGCATGCATACCACCCACTCTGGCTTCTTTAGATATCAGATTTACCCAAAGAACCTTGTCTGCCTATGTCCTTAGACCAACACAGCTACAACCTGAACCCCAGGACCAGGCAGAGTAACTTGATCTGCTGAAAATAATGCATGCAAGGTAGTCTAATATGTTAGTACTTCAAGCTTTCAAAAAGTAACCAAGTTGCTTTATGTAGCAATAAGAACCAGGACTGCATAATAGGTGTGTGCCTGTGGGTAGCATGCATATTCTTTCAGATTTTCTCCCACTCAAAAGCATTTTTAACCCCCTTGAAGTCTGCAAAAGGCAAAACAGATACAGGGATGGCCTGCTTTTGTAAAGCTGAAATCATATGATGTACTGAAAATTTACTTTTTAAATGGGTTATTGAAAATGATCTCAAGAAAATTTGATATTTGCTCTGAAATATTCTGGGAAAAAATACCAATTTTCTTTGATTGGCTATAATGAATGTTGAAATGTTTGAACAATTCAAATTATTTTTTTTAAAAGAAACAAAGTGTTTCAAAATATACCTGAAACATTTTAATGATTTTCTGACTAGCCCTACTTGGTAAGTCTGACTTGAATCATATGTACTTTAAGATCCAAAATTCACTGAACAGCCTTTGCACCCTTTATTCCTTCCTTGTTAAAACCTACTTAGACTTAGAAATGGAAGCAGCATGAGAAAAGCTATTCCTGCAATATTTTCAGCTTGGCTGAAATCACAATGTGTCAAAAAAAAAAAAGAGTATCTTGTAGGAAAGTATGTTCCTCAGTTTGGAAACACACTTTGATAAGTATTTGCACATTTGGCTGTTTATCTAAAAGGAACTACCATAACTCCTGTGGCTGCCAGTTTCCTCATATAACCCATCCTCCCACTCCTTCCATTTTCTGCCCCTAACTCTGAAAAGAGCATCTGTTCCTTTTTGTACTGGATCTCAGTGGTATATAAATCCCCATCTCTTAATTAGGCCTCTTTTCCCTTGATGATTGTGTTCTTTCCAATGCAAGCCACAAAACATCTCAACTTTCCACCTGCCACACTGTGACTTTGATTTTGAAATAGTTTACCTTATGGATGTCATGATTTCATTAACCACTCCCATTTATTTTGATAATTTCATGAGCTGCAATTTTAACAAAAAGTGCTTTGATTTTGGAATTTTCTTATAGTAGCTGACAAGTTTTAGCTTTACTAGTTTAACAAACAATATTTTCATTAGATTTTGTCCCATATGCAATACTAGATATTCATTTTTAGGATCCCGTGCCACATCTTAATTATGGCCACCCTTGACACCACAGAGTTACACAGAAGATTAACACAGTGTTGCTACAACAAAGGACTGCTACAAAAAGTGACAGCCCAACAAGTGACATGCAACACAATGGGTTTCAAAAGCAGGCAGACCTCCCTTACTGAGGACTATACCTGCATCTGGGAAGCCATCAGTGAGCAGGAGGCTGCTACATGTCAAACATTCCTCTAGAAGTCCTAGTCATGCTGGGGACAATGTCCAGATACCAGTGGCTATAACCAATTAGTGCAGATTAGAGGGGCCTTCAATTTGCTTTAGTCTATACTGGTGGTGAATTCGCTTCCAATTAATTTATTGAAACGGTGGCAATTTCTGATTAAAACAGTATTATTCCTTCAAAAGAGAATATTGAAAACTACTGCAATATCCTCAGAAGTCTCTAAAACTTTCACATATACGATCTATATTCCTGGGATTTAGAGCACTTGGTAAGTATAAACATTCAAAAAGCCCGAGCCTGAACTGATTCAATCTTTGCAGGTTAGTTTAACCTGCATAGATTGAACTGATTTGCAAGTGAATAAACATTCACTTTTGATTCTGAAAATGCAGGCACATGACTGTAGTGGCTCAGGCCAGAAGCTGGGGGCACTAAGGAGAGCTCTCCCTTCCCTTCCTCAGTGGCCAGGTGGAGGGCAGCTGAGCTGAGAGTGGGGGAGCATGTCCAGGCCCCCAGCAGTATGATTGGGGAGGGGTTTAAACCCCCACCCTAGCCTGCAGGGACCCCAGCCAGGGTGTGCCTGGAGTAGGAGGGGGGAAGCAGGCTTTTTTCTTGGAGGAGCATGGCCAGACATCAGTCCACCATGGCCCCCTAAGACGAAGTGGGCAGGGAGTGGGGTTATTCCCCGCTCCTTCCTCTCTCCCCCAGATCCCCCCAGGACCTCAAGCATTTCCCCCACCCCTTGCTGTTTGAGTGGGGGGGGGGGTTGTGGCCAGCCCCACTGGCAGCCTGAGCCCCGCTCCCTCCTCTATCCCATGAACATGAACCCCAGCCAGGCAGACCCCAGCTGGGGTCCATGCTGGTGGGAAAGGGGATGGAGGAGGGATTAAATCCCCCTCCCCTGATTTGCTTCAGGCTGCCAACTGGGCTGGCTAT